TTTATAATGTTCTGCATCTTTCTGGTGTGTATTGTGATGTTTCCCCTTTCATCTCTGATTTTGTTGATTTGGAGGTGCTCTTTCTTTCTTCTGGTTAACTGGGCTAGTGGTCTGTCAATCTTGTTCATGTTTTCAAAGAACCAGCTCTTGGATTCGTTGATTCTTTCTATTGTTTTCTTTGTTTCGATTTCATTAATTTCTGCCCCGATTTTTGTTATTTCTTCTTGCCTACTGGGTTTGGGTTTCATTTGTTGTTGCTTTTCAAGTGTCTTGAGTTGCAATGTTAAGTCCTTTATTTGTGTTCTTTCCGGTTTTTTGATGTAGGCATTTAGAACTATAAACTTCCCTCTAAGGACAGCTTTCAGCATGTCCCAAAGGTTTTGTTGTGTTGTACTGTCCTTTTCATTTAGTGTTTTTACTATGATGTGCCGTGGAGTTTCTTTTCTGGTCCCGTCTGTTTGGTGTTCTATATGCTTCCTGTATTTGTATGGGCATGTCTTTCTCTAATTTTGGGAAATTTTCTTCAACGATTCTGTTGACAATCTGGTCCATGCCATTATCTTGGGATTCTTCTCCTTCCTGTATGCCTATGATTCGTAAGTTTGGTCTTTTTATGGTGTCACACAATTCCTGCATATTCCATTCTTGTGATTTCTTAAATTTTTCATAATCTTTGCTTGAGTGGTCTGGTTCGTCCACTTTATCTTCTCGTCTTGATACTCTGTTTTCCATTTCATTCATCCTATTGGTGAGGCTTTCTCCTGTCGTTTCTAATTGGCTTACTGGGTGTTTCAGTTCCTTCTTCATTTCATCCTATGTAGTCTTCAATATTTCTCTCTCTTTTCTGAATTCATTCAGAAGTTTATCCCTATCTTCCATCAGTTCTTTGATTTCTTTGTGTGTTCTTTAAATTCACTGAAATAAATATTCAGTGAATATTCACTTTAAATAAACATTATCATGTTTATAATTATTCTTTTGAGTTCCATGTCCTGCATTATCTCTAGGGGGTTCTCACTGTACTCCTCTAGAGGACTCTTGGTATTTGGTGGGGATATGTTATTTTGCTTTTTCATGTTACTATTTTTTCTCTTGTGATTTTGGCATGTTAATTTCTTTTGTAGTTTCTGATTCTTGTGGAAGACTCAAGCCTTCAAATTTATGTCTGCTTCTTTTTGTAAACTTTATGTATCTTTGTGGTTTACTTTTTGGGCATGAAAAGCTGGTTTATCTAAGCTTACAGTTCTCTCTTTTGATTTTATATTGGAATGGCCAGATTGCTTTTGTCTTCAGGAGTTCCCACAGAGGCCCAAGTCAGATGAGGATCAGATGCTCTCAGGCTTTCTCCTAAGGTCTGGATCCCTCCAGGAAAGATTTTGGCCTCAGGAATTTGGGGGTTGGACTGGCCTGGGAGCAGGGCCCAGGAAAGATGCTGGTCTCAGGCAGCTGGTGGTGGTGCCACCCAGAGATGCAAAGGGAGATGGGGGTGGGAAGAGGCCCCAAGGGCTCCTGGGGACTGTACTGAGGAAATGGGTTGGTCTGGATGCAAAGGATCAGGAAGCCTAAAGGTCAGCCCCAGCGTCTAGGAAGGAGGCTGGCTGGTTGTCCAGACCAGGGAAGCAGAGGGAGGTGAGGGCAGGACCATGCCCAGAGGGCTCCTGGAGACCTCAGAAGGAACTGGGTTGTTCTAGATGCAAAGGATCAGGAAGCAGTGGTGGTTCCGCAGGTGTCTAGGGCACCAAGACAAGGAATTTAGGGAACAGAACCCATGCTAAGAGGTCCTAGCTTGGGGGAGATGGGAGGGTGAATGAGGCTGGGGTGTTAAGGCATGGGGGGGGTCGACTTACCCCAGAGAGAGGCCTGAGGGTCGTGCAGCCCAGGGAAGCAGAGCAACTCTTGGTATTTTTATTTTTATTTTTTAAGTATTTTATTATTTTTATTTTATGTGTATGCGTATTGCCTGCATGTATGTGAGTGCATCCGTGTGGTGCAATGCCTTGGAGGTTTGAAGAGGGCGTCAGATTCCCCTGAAGCTGGAGTTAAGGACGGTTCGTAGCCACCATGTGAGTGCCTGGAATCAAACCCGGGTCCTCTGCAAGAGCAGTCAGTGCTCTTAACTACTGAGCCATCTCTCCAGCCCTGGTATTTTTATTTCTTTTAAAAATGTTTTTAAAATTGTTTCATTTTTGTTTCATTCATTTATTTATTTATTTATTTATTAACAATTTCTTAGCTTTATTTTGCGTGTTTTGGGAGGTGTGCACATGTGTGGACGTCAGAGGACAACTTGCAAAAGTGGTTCTCTCTTTCTATTATGTGGGTCCCAGGTGCGGAACTCAGGTTGTTAGGCTTGGAGACAGGTACTTTACCCACTGATCCATCTCCCCAGCCCTGGACTTCAGTCTCCAATAAGTAAGTTCAGTTCTCATAATGTTAGGGATTGCTGGTTCATGCCTATAATCGAAGTAGTTATGAGGCAGAAGCAGGATAATCTGTGTGTGATTGAGGCCAGCCTGGTCCACATAGAGTTCCAGGCCAGGTAAGGCTACAGGGAAACCCTGTTTCGAAAACAGAGGCAAAAAAACATTAAGGATGAAAGGAATTATTAAAGTGGAACTAGGGGGCATACATACAGAATTCCTTTCCTCAAATCGTTATTCAATAATATTTCACAACCATTTGACATTTTATTTCAGATTGCTACAAAGGACCCTTTAAATCCAATTAAACAAGATGTGAAAAAAGGAAAACTTCGTTATGTTGCAAATTTGTTCCCATATAAAGGATATATCTGGAACTATGGTGCCATCCCTCAGGTAAGTCTCCAAGCATCTGCTAGAAATGTACTTTTTTAGCATATAAGAAATTAACTCCTGTTGATCAGAAGTAGAAAACATTTGCTATCAGAAAGTTAAAGTGTAGGAAAGGACTATTTTAAGCATGTTAATACTTCCTTGAATAACTTATTTCCAAGATTAACTGAAAGGAAAATATTTACAATGTTTAAACTCAAGATTTTCTGAACTGTTTCTTTTCTACATACTAGTTGTAAGCTCTGTATCTTCTTTCTTTACCAATTGAATGGCAAGTCTAGTGAAGACAGTGTATATGTGAATGGATTAAAGCCTTTTTTCTAGCCAGCCATCGTGACACATACCTAGAATCCCAGACTTCTCTGGAGGCAGAAGCAGGGGTGTTGCCACAGTTCAAAGCAACCCTGGTCTACATAGCTGGTTCTAGGCCAGCCACAGCTGCATAGTGAGACCTTGTCTCAAAGAGCAAAACTAGGGGCTGGAGGGATGGCTTTGCCGTTAAGAGCACTAGCTGCTCTTCCAGAGGATCTGAGTTTAGTTCCTAGCACCTACTTCAGGCTGCTCAAAATTGTCTATAATTCTAATTCCAAGGGATCTAACCCCCCCCGCCCCATTTCTGGCCTCCTTGTGCGTGCACGTGCACACACACACAAATAAATAATAAATCTTAAAAACATAAGAAACTGGGGCTAGTGAGGTGGCTCAAAGTAAAAGCCCCTACCACCAATCCTAAAGGCCTGAGCTCCATCTCAGAGACCCACATGGTGGAAGTAGAGGACCAACTCCCTCAAGTTGTCCTCTGGCCTTCACATGTGTGCCAAGGCATATGTACACACATACATGCATACATGCCTGTACATATACAGACATATTGTGTAAATACAATAAAGAAACCCATCAACAACAGGAAATCGTTTATTTCTATCCAGATGTGGCACACATCCATGATCTCCTCATTCCAGGGACTGAAGCAGATTGGGAGTTTGAAGCGAGCCTGGGCTATTTAGTGAGAGTTTGTCTGAAAAAGAAGGCACTAAATCTTGGTGTAAGACATGCAAGTCATCTTTGGTTCCTCTAAACCTCAGCTTGTAGAATTGTTAGGAAGAAGAAAGCACTTAGTGTCTGTAAGTGCATTCTCATAGCCATTTACATTTTGGGTCCTGATTATTCCTGAGGTCAGACTCTTTATGGCAAAGTAATGATGGGCTCCTGTTTTCTTAAACATCCAACCTTAGAAGCAGGAAAAATAGCTGCCTTGTTTACCAGTCTATCCCTGGCATGAGGCCAGGACACAGTAGGCTCTTACTTAATGTTTGGATGAAGAGCCACTAGACTTTTTTTTTTTTTTGAGATTTATTTTTATGTCTCTGTGTGAGTATGTGCAGATAAATGCCAGTGCCCATGGAGGCCAGAAGAGGGCATTGGATACTCTGGAACTGGGGTTATAGGCAGTTGTAAGCCATCTAATATGGGTGCAGTTAATGGCACTCAAGTCCTCTGCAAGAACAGTATGCACTCTTAACCGCTGAGCCATTTCTCCACCTCTCGAGTCACTAGACCCTTATTAGTGTGCATTTGATCCTGTGGCATCGCATGTTCAACTTAGTTTTTCCCATAGTTAAAAGGTTTGTTTCTTATGTGTCATTAGGTGGAACAATTAAATGAATCATAAAACTGTAAGTTATTCAAATACAGGTCAAACTCACCTAGTGTGTTGGATAATCACAAGCCATTTGTCTGCCCTAATTATAGCACTTTACTTCACACTTAGTTGGTTTGATATTTAGCTTTGAAGTGTGGTCCCTGTGGGGAAACAGTGTTGAGCTGCTCCTTCTACAGCTGGCTTTCCCCTTCTTAGTGTTAGAAGCAGTCTTCCTTTATACTGCCTTCACTTTGATTTCTTTTCCTCTAGCCAGCCGAATAGAGAAGCAAATCCAAGTTATAAATGTGTTCTGGTTGGGGATAAAAGAACCCAAACAACAACTGCATTTTAAACCTAACTTCCTGGCCAGCACAGGCTCAGTTCTTTTGTGAGATGCTCTACTATGGTTCTGCCTGCAATTTAACAAAAAAAGAAAGCCAGTGATTTTAAGCTTCCTCAGCCTTGGCTCACTGCCAGCAAAGGTGCTTTCAACATCAGAGGATATCATATCCGTTTCAGTACTATTGTCTCCTCCTCTGTGTTGAAGAAATTTGTTGTAAAGAGAATGTAGCTAGTAGAAGACAGTACCTGGAACAGTTAACCAAAGAATTTTTCTTTTTGTATCTTGGTGCATCTTGGAGCGCAAATCTATGACCTTGTGCACTATAGGCAAGTGCTTTACCACTGCTGAACTACCTTAGTTTTTTTGACACAGTGTTTTGCTGTATAGCTCAGGCTGGCCTTGAACTTGAGGTCTTCCTGCCTTAGTCTGAGTGCTCAGATTACAGTTGTGCATCACCACACCTTGATTAAATAGTTTTTTTTGTGGGGGAGGGGCTGGAGAGATGTCTCAGCAGTTAAGAACAATTATTGTTGTTGAGGACCCAGGTTTGGTTCTCAGCAGCCATATTTTGTGGCTCACAACCACCTGTAACTCTAACTCTGGGGGAATCAAACACCCTCTGACCTCAGTGGATCATGGTACATACACATAAACTTATGTAGGCACACACAGATACACATAAATAAAAAAAAATTTTTTTTTTTTGGTCTTTTTGAGATGGTCATCCTGTAGCCCCAGCTGGCCTGGAACTCGCTATGTAGACCAGGCTGATCTTGAACTCACAGAGATCTGCCTGCCTCTGCCTCCTGAGTGCTAGGATTAAAGGTGTGCACCACCACACCCAGCTAAAATAATAAATATTTTTAAAAATTGTTCTAAGTAGGATTATTTTCTGTTTTAAAGCTTAGACTTAGTTTAGAATTATATGCATGACAGAAGTGCCAACGTTTAATACAAATTCTTCAGTATAGTTAAAATTCTTAAATATAAATTTTGGAAAAGTTTTAAGAATAGGCCAAGTATGTTGGTCCATTCCTTTAATCCCAGCACTCAGGAGACAGGCGCAGATGGATCTCTGAGATTGAAGCCAGCTTGGTCTATATAGTGAGTTCCAGGCCAGCTGTGGCTAAAGGGGGACCCTGTCTTAAAAAGACCAAAAAAAGAAAAAAGTCTTAGGAATTGCTGAGGCTTCATAATCTTGCAGCAAATTCCTTGTTATCATCAGTCAGTATCAGTGAGATCAACTTGTCAGCAGTATGTATTGGAATAATATACTCTAAACCTTATTTTTTTAGACTTGGGAAGACCCAGGACATAGTGACAAACATACTGGCTGTTGTGGTGACAATGACCCAATTGATGTTTGTGAAATTGGAAGCAAGGTAATAAAATCTAACCTTTTTTGTATGTATGTGATATGTTAAAATGAAATTAATGAATTATGCCAAATGAACTTTGAAAATTATTGTAAATAAAATATGAATATTAGTGAGATAATATCTCTGGGTGATAAATTTAAAACCGCCATTTAAGTATTTTGTCCATTTTCATTTTCAACACTAATCCAGAAAAACTTATGTATGAATGTGCATATGACTGTGCTCTGTGCTGATTCAAAAGACAGCTAGTCCATAGATGAAGGGTTAAGGAAGTATAAGTCAGGTCTTGCTGAAGATTTGGAGTGAGAAAGGCATTGACTCAACCCAAATAACCCCCATGTTGGAGGCATTGGTAGGGATTCCTCTATCTAGTAGGTTTATCTGAGATTTTCATTAAAGTTCTTTAAGATCTCTCCCAGGCTCAGAAAGTAGAAAACAACCCAAGCCTATTATCATTATGGTTATTTATTTATTTGTATTTTATGTGTATGGGTGTTTTGCCTGCATGTATGTAAGTACACCACATGTGTGCAGTGCCCACAGAGGCCAGAAGAGGATGATGGATCCCCCAAAACTGGAGTTACAGACAGGTGTTAGTCACCATGTGGGTGCTAAGAATTCGTTCTGGGTCCTCTGCAAGAACAGCCAGTGTTCTTACCTACTGAGCCATCTCTCCAGCCCGTCATGTTTTTTGTGGGGGTTGTTTTGTTTTTTGAGACAGGATTTCCCTATAGCTCCAGCTGGCCTGGAACTCACATTTTAGACCAGGCTGTCCTCAGTATTGCAGAGATTCACCTGCCTCTGCCTCCTGAGCACTGGGATTAAGGGCAGGAGCAACCATGCCCAACAGTCTTTATGGTTTTTTGGTTTTTTTTTTCAGTCTTTATGTTTTTTAAGTCAAAGCTTTTTGCTTTGTTTTGTTGTAGTTCTGGAGATTAAGTGCATAGTGTCAGCAAATACTATACCACTGAGCAATATCCCTAGTCCGTAAGTAAATACTGTACCACTGAGCAATATCCCTAGTCCGTAAGTAAATACTGTACCACTGAGCAATATCCCTAGTCCGTAAGTAAATACTGTACCACTGAGAGGTTTTTTGGTTTTTGGGGGGTTTTTTTTTTTGTTTTGAGACAGGGTCTCCTATAGCTCCAGCTGGCCTAGAACTCATTATGTAGACCAGACTGGCCTCAATCTAACAGAGAGCCACCAGGCTCTACTTCTAGAGTGCTAGGATTAAAGGTGTTTGCCACCACATCCGGCAAGTAAAAGTTTTAAAGATATAACTTAAGACTGGCTTAGCCAGGCATGGTGGCACACGCCATTAATCCCAGCACTTGAGAGTCAGAGGCAAGTGGATCTTTGTGAGTTCTGAGGCCAGCCTGGTCTACATAGTGAGTTCCAGAACAGCTGGGGCTACAAG